GGCGTGACATCACTCTCAATCTAAAGAGCTTGACAGTATTAGGTATGCTGTTTCGAGTATCTGCATTATGGATGTGAACGACGTCGTTGCGCTTTCTATACCCGACACGCTTCAGCTTTCACGGAGAAAGTCTTATATGTTCGTCTATTAAAGGCCGCAATTTAGTAACGTACTTACATTTGTAAATCATATATCGTTGCGACGCGAGCTTCTTCACACGAAGCCTGCAAATGCCATGTCTGAATCGAAGCGAATCATTTGTTTACACAGCACCGTCACACATATTGGCGGCCCACCGTTGTCGTGTTCCTCGATATCAAAGGTGCATTCGATTCGGTGGATAGGCGAGCACTTTGGACCTGTCTACTCAGGAAAGGTGTGCCCGTGAAATATATAAATATTATCCGAGCATTATATGCGCGTAGCTCAGGCAGAGTGAGGGCTTACGATAAGCTGTCGTCGCCCTTTAATATTTCCAGCGGTGTGAGACAAGGATGCCCGCTGTCACCTTTCCTCTTCAGCTAGAAGTCGTACAAAAATTCAACTACCTGGGAAGTTGTATCAGCGCCCGTAGGATTGAAGATGAGATCACGAGCCGTATAGCAAAAGCTCGAGGAGCTTTTGCTAACCTTCGCCACCTGTCCGGCGGCGCGACAGTACTCTTACCCTGAAGGGTAAAGTGTACAATGCAGCGGTACGTTCGACCTTACTGTACGGTTGTGAAATCTGCTCCCTTAGATCAGCGGACATAAAGAGGCTAATTACGTTCGACCATCGATGACTTCGCAATTTAGCTCACATCTGGTGAGAACACCGCGTGAGCAACGGGCATGTTCGACGCCTTGTTTACGGCACAGGAAAAAGAAACGAACCGCTCAGCACCGTTATTTCACGCACCAGGCTCCGATGGCTCGGTCAGGTGTTACGCTTGCCATCCCACCGACTCCCGCGACGTGCGTTGTTTGCACACAGGGGGTGTGGATGGAAGAAGAGGAGGGGTGGCCAAACGAGGACTTGGTCCAGAGGAATGAAGGTCCTCACTTCTGAGCTGGCCTCAGTTGGAGCGTCTTGGTTCCCTAGCTGGGGTACGAAAGACGATGAACACGTTTGGCTGGATATACTTGTTGATATGGCTAGGAGCCGACCTCAATCGCGTTCGTACTGTGAGTTTCTTTATCCCATCCCATCCCATCCCTCTTAGCCTATTCCTCTAACCTCGATCTCATTATTTAGCATTCTATAATTTTGCGTAGGAAATTATTTTTTTTTCTGCTGCATAGTAGCCGGCAGTTAGCTTATCGGAACGATGTCCATCCATTACCGGTAGCTCAGCTGGCTTGCACCTGTTGCACTTTATTCCCTTTCCTTCTTTTACGTATTGCGGCACAGTAGCTGAGGTCTTTCCCACCTCTAGCTAACGTGTATAATGTGTGTGTTTGTGTATGTGTGTCATTTGTTTGCACTCTTGTTGGACAGACTACCAGGTGACTATTTATTGTAGCTTGTATCTGAACCGCTTTATAATTTGGATGACAGTGTTCAACCCATAGTTGTTAAGGTTTGTCGTTTTACGTCCGCAATCTGAGTCCAATCGGCCAACAGGCATTAGAAATTCTCACTCTTCTCTTTTGGTATTGATGTGTGCTGTGTATCCGAAACACGCATACAAGAGAACAGCGTCGTGACGAATATTCAACTCCCTGCTTCCGAATCTGCATACAAAGACTGCAGTCTTCACGTCTTTGGCGATACTGAGTCAATGGTTCAAGGTATTTAAGTAGTCTGTATCACCTGCAGCATACATGCTGAAGATAATCTTTCCGACTGGGATACCAGCAAACAACCGCATGTGTGCGGTTCAACTTCGAACCTTCATTGGGGTTACTAGGCACCGTTTGGCACAAGATGCCTTTTCATCACCCTCACTTATGACCCTACCAACTACAGTCCGGAGGGTACGAAAGACCAATTCTATCATCTTTCAAACTCTGAACAACGCCTGGACGGCCGCTTCGGTATCGATGCACCTCGAACAGACAGTGGTGCAACTATGTGCCGCCGATCACAGTCTTCATATTCGTGATTTTTCAATTGGATTTAGTTCATCGCAATTAGATTCCAAGCCGCATACGTAATCTGCCAATCCGGAAAAGCACCAGACTCGCGTTTCGCCCTATTGGCGGTCGTCAGTGGTGCGTATCTATCAGTCCCCTACTGGGGATCGAACCCATGACCGCTAGAGGCTAACGCCAACTAGCCAGCAGCTTACGTCACTGAGCGATGGAGGAAAACAGCGGACCATTACGAATTGAAACCGAATTCCGATATAGCCCGACCCATCCTCCACTGCCGTGCAGGTTATTGCCCGTGCAGAGGACAGTGGTTGGCCGTCACGGTCAGGTCTTCCCTTGCCAGCGCCGTGAATTCACACAGCCATTTTGAATACTGGTAGGACTTCGATTTTGATTACAAACGAGTAGACGGATTTGGGCATGATTCAGATTGCTCCATTTTCTCTTTTACACATGCTGCATCTCATCCGCGGACTACCCCATTTCTGTCGGCCACCATTCGCCACCAACGGCGCTATCGCGAATGCTCATGTTCCTGATTCGTCTATCACTTACGGATTGTGTTACATTGACATGGGAGATTTGTTCCAAATAAACCTTTAAGACACACTCATCACCCTGGTAACCTGTGTGCGCGGCCGAATTCTCATCTGTGGGATCTATACGTCACCGGCGTATTTACGCGCATTGTGGCCTCTCACATCACTGCACATCTGGTTTCGATTTCTACTCCAATTGGCAACCAGCCTCGTGCGTGTTTTCTTATAGGCATCTTGTCTTCATATTATGTCTGCTTTGAACCAGCCACCTCACTAGAGATGCGGTTCAAAAATAGTTATCTCACTGCATGTCACTAGGCTGCTGTGGCGAGTAGCTTCTAAATCACTAATCAACAGCCGTGTATATTCCGACGTAATTCGGATCACCCGTGCGAGCCTTGAAGACTAGACTAATGCAACAAACGATTATCCGAAGACATTAAGACTTCCGCTTCTTTTTCAACACTTTCTCGCATTCGTGTTTCAGGACGTAAATATGCACGTTTTCGCTAAAATCTAAGAACCTGTTCCTAAAACAGCAACAGATCAGGATGTACAGAAGTGATCTTTCTCTTACTCGAGAGTAAATTGACGACAATTTTTTTACCGTTATATGTGTTTTTGATCCAATCTGGGACATTTCACCAGCCGAGTCGTCTGCGCGCCTGGTCTGCAACCATAAGGTCCCCGATTCGAATCTGCGTAGTGGTGGGCGTCCTCGCAGAATACTCAGCCCGCGCCCGACTAATGGTGGTCGCGTGGCAGCAAAGCGCCGTTACAGCGTACAGCTGGCAATCTGTCTCTCTCTATTTCACCAGATGATTTGTCGGACGAGAACATGGATAATACCAGTAGTAGTATAGACAGCAGATGTTGCATTCATGATGCCTCCCCACCGCAGTTGGGCTAAACCAATTTACACTTAAACTAGGTCTTTTTAATGTGGATAGAATTCATTCCACTTTATTTGGTTTCTTCTGCCTACTTGCATAATCTTCTATTAACTTACACACGTTGCTTACGCTAATGGCGCTTATCTTCATTAACTGTGTTGCGTTTGTAGCATTTTTAAGGAACTTGTGGGATTTTGTACTTATCGCGGATTCATTGCTTACCAACTTACTTTATATGCTAACTTAGCGAAGAGTTATGTCCGCATAGCCGTATGCTTTAACAGATATACTTCATTTGATAATGTCATTTCAAGTGAGTGGCTGTCGTTTGACATCCCCGGTTTGGCTGCGCTTGATATGCATGTTGACAAGGTGCCTACCTGTCTATCACCCACTACCTCGTCCAATCTGATTCCAGGGGACACTTGATCGTTGCTGAAGGGGACGGGGTGCACAGTCCTTGTGGCCGTATTAGGCTTGGAGAGTGGTTCCATGCACTCACTGTGGAGCAGACTACGTTCCAGTCACCGCCATCTGTCCGCATGATTCCCCAAATATAGCGCGCGTGTGTTTGCCTGTGATGGAGTGTGGGCCGGCACCGTTGATGAAACGTGGTCTCCCGGTCTTATTCTTTCGGGTTTACACTGGATATGGGGTGTGTGGTTGGATCTGTGGGTAGTACAGCGCAAGTTACGCATGGTCCCTCTGTAGGCGCAGGCGTCCTGTGGCTGGCCTCAGTGACAGGCAAATCCGAAACCGGATGACGCCAACCAAGCATAGGCTGCAGTCTATTACATAGGCATACTGCGCAATAAAACCATGGAAATCACTAAAAGAAGACAGGTTTGCCACTATCACCATGGCGCAGTAACTGAAGGTGAGCCATACACTTCAGCTATTGTATCGCAATAAAAGTAAAAACGGACCATCTCTTGTTATTTTGCATGCGCCATTTTATCATTTTTTTGTCCTTTTCATTCGTTCGGCATTATGCATCTACATCTAAACAATTATGCCCACAGCTACTGCACTGGTTTCGAGTACGAGCCAAATCCTGAATTGTCCCCAAATCAAATATGTCTCGATTTTGTCTTGGAATGATCTATGGTTATCACACGTCCTAATTGTGGCTGGTAGACTGTTGCATCTGGATCTATGGGCACTTTGCTCATTTCTGCAGTTCACTTCAATTCCACTCATACTCATGTATGTTACCAAACAATTAAGCCGTGTGACCGTATCGGTTCTCGATTCCACCTTCAGCAGTATATACAATAATATATTATATGTACAATATATCATATCTTTGTTCACCATCATGTAATCATATACTTTGATCATTCCGTCCATCATGAAAGCACCTAATGTGGTGTCACCTACGGTCCTCCTAGCTGACATGCTACTATTCTTATTATTCAGATTCCACTCGTTACTTTTTATTTTCGGCACTTCTTCCCTGCCATCGTCAACGACATTTGTGCATCTGTCTTTCATAGAAATGGTGTCCTTGTGCTCTGGAATATGACTGAGGCCGAAGTAAGTTGTTATTGCCCTTCATCCCATGGTGATTTGTGCGGTCAACGTCACGTTAATACATCACAATGCTACCGTCTAACACGTCTTATTTTGATGCACTGAATCTTATATGGTTCAGCTAGCCTGCCTGGACACCTGCTGTATGTTTCCAGTCACCGCTTTTCGAGGAAAGATTGATGCAAATCTCCAGGAGGGCGAGATTTATCCTGACAGCAAGAAATGAAGTCACTGGTACCTGTTAGCCCATCCCGTTTTTCAGGCTAGGGCCGATGGCCTATAGAGTTGCGTAATTACTTTGTAATCCCTGCCTAACCGATCGTGGCTTACCTTGTGGTATACCCAGTTCAAACGCCACCCGTGGTGGTCACGTGTCACCGAAGCGTCGCTACGATGTGCCATCGTACTGTGGATGTCCATTCAGCCCACATTGTACCCGGTTTGAAACCCCACAGGACATGGCTGGCAGCCGGCACCAGTGGAGTGCTCACTGTTGTCCTCTAGTCTGACTACTTGTTTAAGGTGTGCCAGGTACACAGCTGCCTGTCCGGTGGGGCCGATTTCGACGCGGGTTGGTCAAGACTGCAAGGAACTTGTCTCCCCAATGTCGCCTTTTCGCACGATAGCCATCTGTTGGTGACATTGTATCGTTGACAAGGCGTAAACGACTTACCCGTGAATGTTTGCTTAAGGTTTTTTTCTTGTTATAATCGTCGTCGTTGTATGACAAGGAAACATCGGTTCAAATGTTGATGCGCTACTGATAGACATTGTTGTCGATGTTTAAACATTGAAGCTATAGTATTCACTTAGTTTCCGCAAATCCAACTTCGAACCCCAGATGGCCCTTACTCTGGTCCGTATCTTCAGTGTATCTCAATGAACCTACAGAGAATAACAAATGAAAAGTAATCTTTTCAGTAATTCCTTTCAAGTAATTACAAGACTAGGCCAAGTGAAAGCTGTAATGCGCTTTTTTGAGTCAGTTTAGCCGATCCAATCAGCTGGTAGATGTCTTTGAACACGCATGCACATACGCACGCACGCACGAGCTCGTTGGCCGATGAGGCGACATTGGTCAATTCGGGTTGCGGTCACTGTTCAATATGAACGGAAGTTCCTTACGGTAAAAGTATAGCTTGTATCGGTGTTCTCAACATGCACAATTCCTGCATCAGTATTCTGATTGCAATAGCGTCCGCGATGCTCTTTGAATCCTTTTGAACTGCGCTTCTATTTCATGTAAGCTACTTTGAAAGTGTCTTCTGTTGGTATTTGATAGCCGGTACTCAGCAGATGTTCGAGGAGAGGGCTGCGAGTATTTTTAACCGTGCCGTGTTGCAAAAACCATAGCAATGCTCCGCTATGCGCCTAGCCTCACTCTTGCTTATGTACCCGAGGTACCTTGCACCACAGTTGCAGGTGACCTGATATAGAACAAAGGATTCCGAATAAACTCCATCGACCGGGAAAGTGGTCCCTTTGGATTGTCATTAGTTCGAGTGACCACTATCACTTGCTTACTGTTTATCTCTCGTTCCATTCACATCACTGTTGTTGGATTTGTTTTGTTATGGCGTTCTGTTTTACTCAAAGAACTTACTTTCCATTATTTCTCTATAGCATCGGATGTTTATATCACATGCCAAACTGGCTGCTCGCGACGTTCTTCCAGATTCGTTGGTCGAACGAGAAGTGCTTCGCTACCGTTTCACAGAGTGAGCACATTGCGTAGAATACTCTTCTCTCATCACATATTACCTCATATGCATAACGAGCAACAATGTGTATTCCGCCTATTCTCATACGTTCATAGTACATGAAACGGGAAGAAACCTTTTCGTTTGCCTTTTTTTACCAGTTCGTTTCTGCATGTGATCATCATGTAATCAAAGCAACCGTGCAGATCGCACGGATATCTGCATGCCTTCTTCTGCATCATTCGCATACAACGGGTTCTGGGAGATCCAAGAACATAACGAGGGGCTCCAGAACACCCGATCTGTGCAACTCTGTTCTCCGGACCAACTATGACTTTGACGTCTCACTCAATCTGCTGCGCCGAAATTTTGATCCGCCCTCCTCCCTTAGAGCTCTCAGTCCGGACGACGAAATTGATGCATTTCTGGTCTTCGCCCGTTCCAATCCACTTAAGCTCGCGGTCGTGTCGATTATTCCACAATTATTCTTATTTTGATTCTGTTGGACGGGTATCGGTCCCACTTGTGTACACTCCGTCGTGTGTTTGAATTTCCCCAATGGACTTGCTGCCCTCGACGGCGGTGTGACTCATCCTTTGACCACATTTGTTTTCTTCGGGCTTGTAGTCAATCATGTCTCGTCTTCGGACTTACCTCTCGATCTGAAGACAGGACACTAGTATCAGAAAGGATGATCTCGAATGGTTTGTCCTGCCCCAGTCATGATTACATTCTTATACCTTATACCCGATGCAGACACACGAGTGGATGGTGTATGTCGCTCACTCCACCTACCGTAGACTGGGCTGGTGGCCTTTCTGAATCATATGATAGCTGCGACTGCGCAACACTTGACTGGAATGAACTGTCAGGGCACGTCCTGACGATGTTTCTCCATCCGTGCTGCGAGCTAGTGACGACCACTCGGTCACCGACTGGTTTGGCCACTCCGTTTGGTTGATTGGCACTTCTAGCATACCCCGTTGGTGAATGCATCTCAACTTGCATCTCACTACTGTTTTCCTCCATCTATCGCAACCGAAGTCATCATATTACGTCTTGCTTCAACCGACAATGCTGCTCAATTGTCTTTCTGTTTCTCCTCATCTATGGTGCCTTTCTCGACTTTCTGGAGTCGACGCTTGTCTGACACAGGCTGCATGCTATTTGCAAAACCATGAAAGTTTTTAACTTTGCAATACATTACCGTCTTTCCTCCTGTTCAGTGGACAAACTCGTTTGGTAGGCGAAGACATCTTCTTACAGACGCAACAACTTCACAGCTCCACAGAACCAATCCATTTGGTGAAACCCGAAGAATCGGTAACAACTTCAAGCTCTTCCGGTACCACCCTGGAATCGCTCACTCTGTCACACGCCAGGAATCATCTCGCGGACACTGAACGTCCTCACCCAGTGCCCATCAACGACCCTGTGCGGATGCAACAGTTCGCATTCTCAGATGCACTTTCACTGTCAGGTAATATTTTTCAGCACGACCACCATTGTTGCTCTTTGTCTCCTCAGGCACCACATGTTATGCTGGGAATGGGCCAAACATTCTCTGGATTGCATGTTTAGTTGACTTCGCTTTGAAATCATCGTCATCTCATGCACTTACCAGTCTCCGTTCCACCACTTTCACTAAGATTTCTCGTACCTAATTCATGCTCTGGTCTTCACGCCGTTCGTTTCCCTTTAGGTATAACTTTCTACTTAACCTTTTGCGCCGAATCACCACTTCAAGCACTATAAGGCCACTCCCAAATCCTCACCTTATACAGTTTTAGTTATGCTAACTCCGTTTATGTCAAATGGTAAACGCAGGTCATGGTGACTATATTTTACCCCTATGGATCCCGTTCCAGCAAAATGAGCTATTATATTGAGATCGCTGCTATAGCCTCCTAGTTGTATCGGCTCGTTCAGTCAGAACTAACGACACGATCCCGCCAGTTGTATCTCTGTACCGAACTTCACGGACTTGTCGGAACTATTTCCTGCGTGCGCGCGCGACTTAACGCGCGTCACATCATCTACAGCAGTACATCAACCATTTGAACTGATACTTCGCTACCATACAACCATAATGACCTACGGAACGAAGGATAATAAGAGGGAGAAAAGGGTGACTTACCGGAAAACTTTAATGCACTTAACACATTCAGGATCAAGGCGCTTGCACTTTGTCATCAACATACCGTCATAAATGGCTGGCTATCGTGCCAAGATAAGGTGGTATCAGCGAGACAGCTTCCTCGCGGGGTTCACTGCCCGCGCCGTAAGAAGCCATTTCCTCGCAGATAACTGAGCACCAAACACACTTCAAACAGGCAGTTCCACTACGAGACGGCGGTAGAGGCGGCACTTGTGACGACTGCGAGCCATGTCCTGTAAGGTCTTCATCCAGACACAAAGCGAGTTCCGTGCACTTCAACCTGGAAGGTGAGGCGGACCAACGGCACGCAGTTTGATTGTCATTGATTTTATTTCTTACTGCCAAGTCAGCGTTTGTCCACCTCGAGCCTTGCGCCATCCTACAACTGGCAGACAAAACAAGGCCCACCTCGGTAAGCGGGGACCGGTCATGCCTAGTACGTGCCCAAGCCAACACAACTTATCCAGTGCTATCTGTCGTTCTAAGGAGCTAGACTAGTTATGAATGCCTAGTACTCGCCTACGCATATCATCGTTGCGGACACCCTGGTGTCACCCGACACCAGCAATGGTCCGCAGACAGTGGTGATCATAGACTTGGAAAGCGCCTCACATCCTCAGATCGAAGGGGCCAAGTCTCACTTCCGTACCGCAGTGAGGCGACAAACCAGAATTGAGGCCAGTAATTTTGTCACAACTGGCGTTAGGAAAAGACCCCCTATAGTTAGCACCGTGGGGGCGGCTGCTCTTCTTGTGTATCGATACTATAATCGATTCACTTAACTGGGATGGTCTCTTTCTTTCAGACATGTTCGAACTGGGACGTCAGTGCTTTGTAGAGGCCTCATCTCCATCCTTAATTAGTGATTCACCCAAACCCGTGAGAGGGAAGAAGAGAGAAAACAGGCTTTCGCCAGGATACTTTTATGACCAGAGAACAGCGAACACGAAACTGCGCTGTTTTGATCAGACACCGAAGCTGTTGATCATGTAAGCAGCACAGTCTGCGCAATCAAACGTAATGATGAGGGACGTAGTAGAACATATGGGTTCACATGATTGCGAGGAGTAACCGGGGCCGTAGCGTAACATACCGGTTCGTATGGCACAGAGGAGTATGCGGATACGTGTGGGGACGTGTGAATTCACACGGTCGCGTGTTTATACCAAGAGGGTGTAGACATAGCTTACACCATCTTGTGGATCTTGCGTTCCCCGTAACAAGTAGCTATCTTTAATTTTTTGAGACCTAGCTGATTATTTCTTCCGTAGGCTAACCTTTAACCTTTCTTACGGTTTACTTTTGGTTACTGTCGTTCAGCGCCTTGGTTGCTTATCATTTGCATTTGCGACGAGACTAAATGATAACTTGGTACGAATGCTTGCACACCTACGCATTCAGCTATACGGGGTGGCGTGCTCGGGCTTCTTGGAGCTTCTCCTACCATGGTCAGCACTGTTTAGAGTTCAACCAAAATCAGAGTCTCCTGGCCCTCCATGTTGTGGGTTGCAAATGAGATGACGCCCATTTCTTCAAAACCAAACCAGTGCCATCTCCCTGCTATCTTGTGAACAATCTTTTAAGCCATACGCTTTGTTTGAGGTCCTTAATCTTCTTCCTGTCTGTCTGGGCGCTTTGGCAGTATTGTAGCTACAGCCTACTACAACCATGACTAGTTCAGCTTACCACAACCACATCCTCCATCAGCCGTCGTAGAGTTTTAAAAGGGTTGCTTTTTGCACAAACTAGGTTGGATAAGCGAACATTCTACTGCTGATGCACCCCTTCTTTTCGGGCTATCTCTTCCTATTAAACCTCTCCAGACCCCGATTACTATAATTCAGGATTTACATAACGGTAGCGGCAAAACCAGTTTTGTTTTACTATCAGCAGCTATCTTCCCACACCATCCACTGCACGCCTATCAGCAACAGACCCTGATATGACCACCCTGTCCCGTTTCCTCGGCGGCGTTCAACGTCAGCACTCTAAGACCAATAGGCGAACAGGCTGCACTCGCATGCGCGTTGGACACATTGGGTATTGACGTGTGTTGTATGTGCACAGCTGCGATCAATGACCCTCATTGGATCTTATTAGAGATTACTTGTCGTAATTCGGCCACACGGCGGGTACTTCAAATCTAACTTTGAATCCTCACGCGGTTGTGGCGTTTCCTTCGCCTGGCTTGTTCTCTCGCTATTGGTTGCACACATCCGGTGACACTGATACGGCAACCATTGGTCAAGCTGGGGTAATCATCGTTCTCAGCTTTAAGGCTGAGTCATCGTGGGTTGCTTGGACTCTTGTAAACAGCCGTTTGTGTGCAGCCCCTTTGACGACCTCAACTAAGATTGATCTGCGGAATAGTACTATACATTGTTTGTTGGTTGTTTCCACTTATGGCTCCACTGACTGCAGTTCTGATGCTGTCACGGACGCGTTCTGTCACAAAATGCACACGCTGCTTCGCCGTGCTACCATTTCGGAAGTTATAGTTATTGCAGGGGATATGAATTTACAACTAGATCGTTCGAGCTTTTCAAAGCTCAGCCAGTTGCTAAGTATGGATTTGACTCCGATCGTACGGCTGTGTACCGAGCACCGGCTGTTTCTTACTAGCACCGCTTTTATAGACACTTTGGGCGCCAAAGTGGCAGTTGGCGTCCTCCTGCAGCTGGCCAGCAGTGGTCCCAAATAGATCACCTTACTATAAGTTACAGCTGGTGGATTGTTGCTCATTTTGGAATAAATGCATCGACTCGGATCATGCCTTGATACTCTGCCATTCTTCCATGCTCTTCCTTTTATTTTACCGGGAGACGTATCAGATCTCCCTCTAATTTCAACTGAGCAGCGTTATCTCAGCCCTCGGTCGAGCAAGACTACCAGGATGCCCTGTGTAACAAACTTTCGCTCTCTTTTCCTAATGTCATTGAGCTTCAGTGGAATAGGATCTCGGCTGACGTGCACGACGTGGCAACTTCTGCTTAGGGCATTATTACTTGTAAGCGATCCAGTCACTGGATACCTAAGAGGTCGATAAGCGTGTGGTATCCAGAAGAAACCTCCCATCTGGCTCTGAGCGCAATGTAATTAAAAGGAGCGTTAGGTATGAACTAAAGCGAAGCCTGCGTGCTTATAGCTAAAGAAATGGAGGAGGCGGGGACAGTAGGCGATTATCTCCCCCAGCTGATACGTGCTAATGGTCTCAGCAAACCAAGCGTCAGGGAGATTGTCAAGGACTGCACGGACTTCGTGACTAACAGTAAGGAGCGATGTCTTGCTCATTGATGGGAGCACTTTGGAGTGCAGTTCTGTTGGCCTCTTTGCTCCTGCGTCTTTTTCTGGCGCAATCCCATCTCTGGCGGTTAGCTTAGTTGCTCATCTAAGGCTGTGGTCCGAAACGCGCTCACATCCCGTTATCGTTTTCCGGCTTCTTGTTCGGAATTCTTTGATCCCGCACTATTTAAGGGTAGTGGTTAGGTCCTCTGACGAAGCACCTAGCTCTTTTACGATCCGACAATGGCTAACACAAGGCTGCGTAGCCTCGATCTTATACCGGGACTGACTACATATGTGAACTTCCGTGTGGCAACATGAGACGTAGCAGAACATATGGGTTCACATGAATTCTTAGGCAATGTCTATTTGGTGAATCCAAACGAAGTCGCAATCTACAAAAGGAGCCGTAGCACTGACTGTGTTAACCACAGAGGTTTTTGGGTCACGTGTGGACGAAATAATTGGTCTTAACTTTCTTCCGTCGACTTAATACGGAACAGGGATCCCAGATTAGGACTGTTCAGACAAAACGGGGTTGTATAGACCATAAATTCGTTTTGCGGCAGGTGCTAGGGTAGGGCTACACTACCGCAAACCGCTAATGGCTGTGTTCCTCGATTTCAGTTGTGTATTCGGCTCCGTCGACCGATTCTTTTTGTGCGAAGTATTTGTGCGAAAAGGTGTTCACATGGAATATGTGCATACTAACGCGCACTGTACTCAAACCTCACAGGCCGCTGCCGGATCCACGGTGCTTGTGGGATGTCTTCCAGTGAACAGGTAGCGTCCATAAGAGTTGTCAACTTTTCCTGTTTTATATTACTCGTAAGTAGCAGGACTTCAGTTGTAATTTTGTTGAGGTTTTCATCCCAGTAGTTCACAATCTACCTTGCACAGCCTAGTCCGAAAAACCACTAGATGCGTTTTGCCCTATTGGGGCTTGTCAGTGGTGCGCATTCCTTCAGTCCCCTGCTTGGAACTGAACCCTTGACCTCTAGAGGCATACGCCAATTAGCCAGCACCTTAAACCACTGAGCCATGGGGGACGTTGGCTGTTCTAAGTACTTTGCAATCCAATTAGTATATAATGTCACCTATCTTCCACTGTCACTGACAATGGATAGCCTGCGAGGTGGTGACGTCCTCTCGCTAGACGCTATATCCATAGCATTTGGAACTGGGAGAGACTATCTATTTTATATTACTCATGAGTAGCAGGATTTTGTTTGAATTTTGTTAAGGTTTTCCTCTTATTAGTTTTCAAGCTACATAGCACGCTCTAGTCCGGAAAAACACCAGACGCGTTTCGCCCTATTGGGGCTCGTCAGTGGTGCGCACTTTTGTTAAACTTCCTTGTGGTCTTTATCACAAAATCTTCCTCTGCGGCATCTCACGCGGTAGCCATTGGTGTGTTACCTAATGGAACCATTACTTTTTAGACTATGCAAGCGATATGGTCTTGCTTCCTCCGGATATAATGGTGGTCTAATCAACCCTGGGTAACCATTCCATAAGTGACCGTTTGGCACACGCTTCCCATCTCAACTGTGCAAAATGTTGCTACTGGAACACCAATCACTTGCGCTTATTTGCAGCAATGGAATTGAGAATTTGATTCCAAACTCTGCGTCGTCCAGTAGCAGAATTGGTCGTGGAGTGCTGTGTTTGTAGCGTGCAGTGCAGAAAAATAGGCTCTGGTTTCCTTGCCGATCCACTAATTTCTTTTGTTCCGAATGAATAGGACGGTATTACTCCGCTTATAGTTGTGCACCTCGCTATTCGCTCAAGTTCACCTTTGTTGCTTTTCAGCCTAAAGATGAAAGCCATGCCAGTCAGTTTGTCTCATTCCGTAACGGACATCATGATAAACAGCAGTTCAGCTCTGCTCTTACTGTCTGCTGCTTCGCTATCATACGTTCCTGCATTATGAGACAGATTTCCCAAAATTGGCGTAATAGAGACATCTACTATAGACAATATCGGAGATTTGTATTTCTTGGGACTTCCACCGCCCTTTTTCCATTAACACCTCAGCACCGTACTAAAGTTGGACGAGTACTCCGGCTACTAAACACCGTACGGTCGAACCTCATTGTCACCGGATGATATGGCGTCCTTTAATTTCTCGAACGTGGTGCGGAGTGGTTTCAAGAACTCCAATGCTAAGGGCGATGCCAATGTCTTCCTTATATCTTGCATTGCTTCAGCTTTTTAGTCGAGCTTTTAGCTTCTTTTCCCGTGCACTTCTTTATCCACAGCAAATACTTAACACATCAATACCTTTGACTTTTTTCAGTCAAATTATCCCTTCTAGAGAGTAGCTTTGATTCTGTGGCTGTTCAAATGGAACCGTGGATTGAGGTAAGCGCAACCGTCGCCTTGTTACCATCGAATGTGTTCCGTGTTTCACCCTAAACCCATGTGTGGTTTTCTTGTTGTTGTTTTAATTCCTCGCGGACCATTACTTGGGTGCCATCTGTTGTCCCTGAAACCTCGATCTTCCATCCTTCCACGAAGCTCACAAAGAGCTGTCCTTGGCACAGATCTTATAACCACAAAACGTGCTACGCAAGCAGTTAAAATACATGGAATTTAAACCTTTCGAACGTTTTTTTACTTGTTTAATGTAGTCCCGCAAATTTCAGGCACACTTTTCTGTTCGAACAAATAGGAGCTTCTGTACAGTTTCCGGAAATCAGTCGGCTTTTGGTCAACACTGGATCAGCCAATTGTTTCGTTCGGAAATATTCCGATGTGATCAAGCTTCAAGTGAACATTCGCGGTCCCTGTGATCAATATACCTGCTAGTTGCCCCATTGTAGACCGCAAAAGAAGCCAGCCTTATTTCCGTTTCCTCGATGCCCTTCACCGGTATTACTCTACAACGACTCAATGGTCCTTTTGATATGCGAGTCAATGAGAACACCAGACTGTCCTCTGCCCTGGCCGAGGACACATTACTCACGCGCTTAATCTTCGTCAATATTGGATCGATGACACTTATACAGACTATTGACAATATGGTTGATACTCTCGGCTTGAAAACCGCCTTTGGCTCCGTTTTTATTCGTACCAGCTTGTGCTACTTTCCGTCGTTGAGGTGTGTTCAATGAATACTCCTTTCTAATTTGTATTTTATCTACTGGTATCCCCGAATTTTATGTTTTATATTACAGGTGGGGCGCACGAAGGACGCCCTGTGACTCCTTTCCTCCAGAAAGTTCTAGTTTTATTGATCATTATTGACTATCCTCAACCGGAGTGGAATTTATTCCAATCTTCCTGATTGTATACACGGCCAAGTTGTCCTCGTATCGGACTTATTGTCTGTAGAAGCACTGCACGCTTTTCCATTCTCTTCACGCGCTCAACGTGCAAGGGATACTAAGCCGTAGTTCGAATCCTTTTGCAGCCCAATACTTCCGTTAAGTGTTCGAAAAGCTGGGATTCGAATTCGGAACTGCGTTCAGTGGTGATATAAGAAGGAACACAAAAATTTGCTATCCATCTGGGGACAAGTGCACAAGCGATGGTTTCCGCAATCGGGGTGGCTTCGGGCCATCGAGTGAAACGATCGATGCATGTCAAGATGTACGAATTACCACTGGAATAGGGTAGGGGTCCGACGATCTCGATGTAGATATGGTCAAATCTGCTGTCTGGTTGTGTAAAATTTCCGATGTCCAATTGGGTATGCCGAGTGACTTCGATCGTCGACATGCTAAGCAACTCTTTGCCTATGTGCGGATCCCTTTGTTCATGTTAGGCCACATAAAACGTTTAAGATCATTTCGATAGTTACACGTATAACGGGATGCAAGACTTTATGAAGAGTCTTCTGAATGCGCACATTCAGTTTTGTCAATCTGTTGCATACCGCTTCAGCGGTAACAGGAAGCCGTGCCCCTGACCGATGACATAGCTGCGGCGGTACTATACACAAGATTTCAAAAGCAGCTCGTTTGTCAACTTGATGCCCATGCAAATCTAGATGTTATTTATTGCACTTAAGTTATTATTCTTATTATTCATTCAGTTTGTTAACAGACCTTGTGCCATCAGAACCATGGCAGAAGAAAAAAGGTGAAGAAGATGGGAACACGAACTGCGATACAAAAATATGGGAAACGATTTTTTTGGTTTTACACACGCCATTTTGTATTGTTTTGTTTTGTGAGTTTTTGTGTGCATCAAAGGGATGGTAAAATGGCAGAACAACCTTGACGCCACTGATGTCTGTTGCGGACCATGACGTCTAATGTTTCCAACCACTGCGATTCAACATCTCCTGGTCCCCAACCTGGAAGACGGATTGGTCCGACTGCCGTCAAGCTTAAGGTTGCCTTCTTCATACTTCTTCTCCACGTCATTGGCTGTCCATAGCGGCACTTTTTCCAATCGCTCCCTGGGAGTGCAAATAGCGCTCGGCGTGGAAGGCGATGGGCTGGCGTGCGCTCTGTCCCGCTGATTGATGATCGAATTCGGCCAACTGCCTGGTCGTGCGTCTAATGTACCTGTCCCCACAGGAGCAGGTCAGCCGCTTGATTGGAGTTGACCAAGCGCTTTATCGTTGAATCTAAGAACAATTAGCGATTTGCTCGTAAAGACAACATTAAGTTGCGCTGCAATAAAAGGCGTTCTGCAATTCGTATCAGTCCTCTTGTGCCTACTTCAGCCGTAATGCCATTCTTCAGATAAAGTTTGGGAAACAGCTGCTTCTCAATCGTTTTCAGGGTGGACTTCCGACTGCTTGGCCTCATAAGAACGTCAAAGAAGTGTTCTGGATATCCGTTTTCGAGAAGCGTCTGTTTGATTCGCCTCAGTTCATCTTCACTTGCGTCCTCGCTGCAGATCTTGCGTGCATGACTTGTCAAAGTGTGTACTAGTGTTGGTTTGCGACTTAGTGGAACAAAGCTCTGGAAATGCGTGTAATTCCCTGTCCAATTTTATTTTATTTCTACTCCTATCTTTAGTGATCCGTCATCTTTTCTCCGTAAGCTTGCGTCCAAGAAATTCAGTTCGTTGATACCTTCTTCTTTTGCTGTGCATGAGGCGTTGGGATGGGTTTTTTCGAAACTCTCGGCGACATTCTGCAGGCTGCTAGTCTGATTACTACATACCGTGATTGGAAATAAAAGGTCGGAATAGTCCATTTTAGTGAACCATACTCTTGCATTCCCATGGACATCAGCTAACAATGGATCGAGAGGCGAATCTGTAGCTACTCCGTCGATTTGTCTATGTAATTCATTGTTGAATTGCAATTGGATGTTATAGGTGCATATGAGTAACAGTTGCTTTAGGTAAATGCTTAGTATCTCGATGTTTCTCGTGTGCCGGTCGACATAGGCACAAGAGCAACTGACTGTTTCCAGCAGAAAGACATTGCTAAATAGCCAGACGACGTCCGGTAAAGATATTCAACAGCCTATTACATTTTCAACGCATTGGAACGTATCCTTTTGCTGATGAGGAACTCTCATTCTTCTGATAGGAACAAGCATATTTGCGAATCTGTGATAAGGTAAAATATCCAGTATCGGTCACAAAGATCATCCTGGTTTGCGTGTTTTTGGTGTAAATTTGTTTAGACGGTGTGGATTTGCTCCCAGGAGAACGACTTCTTGACTTGGACTATGCTGACGATATTGCCGTCATCTGTGACACCTCCCAGGTGTGCCAAGGGGCACTGGACATATTAGCACTGGCTGTCATCCGCTTCGGGCTTTTCTTTGCACCATCGAAGTGCAAAGCGTTCCTCCAAGATTGGCCTGGACCGCCTCCTTCGATGACCCTTGGTGGGGATCAACTAGAAGTCGTTCAAAAACTCAACTACCTGGGAAGTTGTATCAGCGCCCGTGGAATTAAAGATGAGATCACGAGCCGTACATCAAAAGATCAAGGAGCTTTTACTAATCTTCGCTACTTATGGCGCCGACGCGACATCACTCTTGCCCTGAAGGGTAAAGTGTACAATGCAGCGGTACGTTCGACCTTCTGTACGGTTGTGAAATCTGCCCCCTTTGATAAGCGGACCTGACGAGGCTAGTTACGTTCGACCATCGGTTCCTTCGCAATTTAGCTTACCTCTGGTGGGAACACGGTGTGAGCAACGGGCGTGTTGAACGCCTTGTTTACGGTACAGGAAACGGAAATGAACCGTTCAGCACCGTTATTTCCCGCACCAGGCTCCGATGGCTCGGTCAGGTGTTGGGCATGCCATCCCACTGACTCCCGCGACGTGCGTTGTTTGCGCGGCGGGGGTGTGGATGGAAGAAGAGGGGGATGGCTATGCGATGACTTAGTCGAGAGGAATGAAGACCCCCACTTCGAAGTTAGCCTTAGGTTGGTGGTTCTCGGCTCGCTGGTTTGAGGTCCGAAAGACGATGAACACGTTTGGCTGGATACGCTTGTTGATATGGCTAGGAGCCGACCTCAGTGGCGTTCATGCTGTGAGTTTCTTTAACCCAACCCATCCCTCTTAGCCTCTCCTCCAATCACGATCTCATTATTTAACATGTTATAGTGTTGCATAAGATATTACTTTTTTGTTGCATAGTAGCCGGCTGGTGGCTTACCGGAACGATGCCCATCCGTTACCGGTAGCTCAGCTAGCTTGCACCTGTTGCATTTTATTCGCTTTTTTCTTTTAGGTATTGCGGCACAGTGGCTGAGGTGTTTCCTACCTCTAGCTAACGTGTATAGCGTGTGTTTTTGGTAGGTCATAATTCCTAGGAATGATAAATCCGGTGTGTTTGAGGTTTTCATATCTTTCTTTAGTCATCTTCTTCAGTTACTAACGACTTCGAGCGCCTTGTCAGTTTTGTTTATGTGTATCCCGTTTTGTCTTTCTCTTGTTCATGCCGTACACATGTGAAGGAGTTTTAGAGGAGCATTTCTATTTTTTGCACGTATTCTGTGCGATCCATGATTACGGCTCCTGGTCCTTTATCCGGTTTGATGACGATGATATCTTCTTCCTGTGTAAGTTCATTTGTTGCTTTAACGTGTGCCTTTGTTGGCAATCTGGAGTGTGTCACGGAATACCTTCGAGAAGTGTTCGAAATGGGTACTAGGTCATTGGTCTGGTTGTTGAGATATACAAACTGTGTCTCAATTTCTAATCAGTGGATGACATAATTAAAGACCCAATGAAATCGCTTACATTTGTATGGTGTCTTAGTGCATAATGGACAGTTTGTGGACATAACTTACAGGATTTGACAGAAATTTAGTTGGACGTTTCATGGGACTTAGTATTTTCTGTGGGGTAAATCCTAACTTTGACACTCGCTTTGAGGTCACGATGCGCATGTACTCGACCAAACGGGCTCGTTCATTATTGTATAGCGCGTCAAGTGCGGATGGTTTCTGTGTGATATGACGTTCGGTCGCTGCTAGCTTAGATTTGGTTGATATACTGTCAAGCCTATTACGTCTTAAGCTGTTTGTTGTAGGGCGAATATGGTGTCCCCGCAATGGTTTCCAGAAAACTCTTGGGCACTTGTTCGTTTCAATGCAATGACGATGAAAATCGATGAAGACTTCTTGTTCGGAAAATCTAACGCAGAACTTACCATACTGATTAAGTTCTTTAGAGCCTGATGTCTACGTTTCTTCTTAGAATAGACATCCTATAGGAGATGAAACGTTGCAAAGACGTCCAAACGATCGAAGGACTTAATCCGTTTTACGTTAGATTTGCAGAGGCGGAAACCGTGACCTAAATCCTTCTTTGGTTGTACACTTTGTCGGATGCTCTATAGAAGCCTTGCTAAATGCCTTTGTAGTCTGCTATGTGATGTCACTGGGTCGTGATTCGAATAGTCATATCGATTATCCATACTGTCAGCGGAAACACAACAACATCAGTGCATAGCTCTTGTGCATCACTGACACTTGTGTTTCTTTATACATGTTGCACACAGTCAGCAACAAACTGGCGTCCTCTTACACGCGTTCGGTTTCTTTTGCGTTGCGATGAAGAAGCCTTAACATGAGGACCTATCCATAACCTTGTCAAATCACACTGATGGCAGAGCCCCATTCGGTCATCAGCGCACGACCCTGACTGATGGTTGCAACAACAATAACTAGGGAACGACTCGGTCATCCGTTGTGATGTATCAATGGACCACACTGAATCGTTTGGAGGGTTACGATTTTTGGGTCCATGCGTTTGCGAAACACAAACGTGAGAGCTTCATAGTCCTTCAGCTTTTGTTAGCAATACCATGTGTTCACACAGACAGTTGCTTTTGTTGCGCTATCATCCGCCGTCATCGCTACCACAGTGGTCATCGGAATATGCTTTACCTTTCTGCTTAGTATCTCTAAAAGGCTTCCGTACAAGAGCATAGTGAGTGCACGACATTCGGTTTCGCAGATGTTGATATGTTATGATTAGTCCCCTAAAGCGCGGCTTCTTATTACATTGACGGACGGCACTTCAGTATAATCATGAAAAGAATAAAATATGAAAATATTCTTTTTAAGGTTGAGTAGACAATAACTAAATAGGGGTCAAGAATCAACGATAAGCAAGCAAACTAACTTTGTAATCCCACCTTATTCGGTTGGGCTTCTTAACAGTGGCCGAGTGGTCTGCACGCCTGGCTTGCAATCATAAGATCACCGCTTCGAATCCGCGTAGGGGTGGGCGTCTTCGCAGTATACACAGCCCACATGCGACTGTTGGTGGTTGCGCAGCAGCGAAGCGCCCTTACGGTGTACAGTTTACACATTATTTTATTATTTTTTTATGCAGTGTTGTCGTTGGTCTCGGGACAACCATGACCTCTTGTACGTATCCACTTGATCCTATCGTTTATGTTGTCGTTTCGATGTGTTGGGAACGCTCTTACTCTAACCGCCTGTTTCTGCTGCTTGCGCGAATGGAAATGCGGTGATGTTCCAGCATCTTGATAGTCTTAATATTATCCTAAGTTCTGTATACACATTCTACCGACATCTTTGCGACCCTTGACCTCGCATACATGTTCAGGATAGATCCTCTGAGGATTCGCGGTGTCACTTCAAGTTCCGATTTCAAACGATCGCAGATGCATGTTTAGTGCCTCATATTGACACACATCTACCTGGATGATTGCTTATCCAATTCTGATCTCTTTTGGCTAACACAGCCGCATATTGAACTGATCGTTTGCCTATGGACTCAGGTAGCTGCTTTGGGCTAACACATTAGGTCATGTGCACATGCGGACAGCGGTTACGATAGGTGTCTGGCGACAACACTACGGTCTTCGCTTCAGTATCGATGTAAAAGCACCAACTGGCATCCGATCGTGCAACACGGTATTCAACGAGTTGTGTTTCCTCAAACTGTGTGTGTGCACGTACGGGTGCAACACCATTCCTCGTTGGGTGTATTCCACATAAGTGGTAGCTGCATTTTGATGCATGAACGGTACTAGCAACTCCATCGCGAATTTTCCCATGCCTTTTATCTCTGTTTTTTACCGCGTTTGCATTACTAATAGTATATTACGCATTGTATTCCGTCGCTTTACCTTTGCAGAGACTGAAAAACGGCCGTTGGATAAATTTGCCGCAATCTGCGGTGCTAAGGAGGACGGGCGAGATTTTCACTCTAAAGTACGTTTTGATGTATAGGGTAGATTAATTTCTTGCTTCATACCGGCACTTATGCCCCATCCGTTTCACTATGTATCGCAAATTGACGTAATTACTTCGTCGAACGCATGACATTTATCGAGCCGTTGATCCGCGGTCGGCATCCTGACCTACCGATTCATTTTGGTTGACGTGTAGTTTCTGTCTTAAGCTTATTGGGATACTGATGTCAGTCGATTTACTCACTCCCTGGTAGCCCACTCAAGTTCTCTCGTAAATGGCTCATCTTTTATTCTGTACACCAGTTTCTTATCTTCTTGAAGGCTATTTCTTCCCCACTAATAGATCCTCTATCTCCTCTCTTTACCTAGACACCTTTTGAATATTAGCACTTCCATGCTGGATACGCCGGATTTGTATTGGGAACGTCCTGAGGCCGAAGCGCTCTATACACAGTTAAGGTCGGCGCTCAATGTGAATCCGCGAATCAGAGTGAGTATTTCCCAGTATATCGCATAACTTGCTCTGCTTTTGACGTCTGAGTTTACTCCGAAAGATTTTCTTCCAAAATGGTGCCATCCAAATGTCAGTGGCTTTAGTATCAAGCGCTCTCACTATCATATAATATTGTGCAGTGTCTATTTGTCTACTCCTCATCAATGCCTGCATGATCGTCCTCTTTGCAACATTGCCATTATCTTCAATTTTCGCTTCGAAAGTGATATGGTTGGCGGCATCCGGTTTCGAATTTGCCTGTCACTGTGGCAAGCCACAGGACGCCTGCGGCTACAGACGGACCATGGGTGGCTTGCGCTGCACCATCCACAGCTCCAACCACACACCCCATATCCAGTGTAAACCCGAAGGAATGAGACCGGGAGGCATGTGGATGGGAGCCAGGTTTCATCAACGGAGCCGGCCCACACTCCTTCACAGGCAAACACAAGCACACTGTATTTGGGGAATCAAGCGCACACAAGGCGGTGGCTGGACCGTAGTCCGCTCCACACTGAGTGCATGGAACCGCTCTTCGAGCCTACCATGGCCGCAATGACCGTGCACCCCGTCCCCTTCAACAACGACCAACTGTCTCCTGGAGCCAGTATGGACGAGGTAGTGGGTAATAGACAGTTAGGGACCTTGTCAACATGGACATCAAGAGCAGCCACACCGGGGATGTCAAACAATAGCCAATCACTTGAGAGAGAGAGATACAAAGAAAATAACTCGATTAATGGCTAAGGAAACGGTGACAAATCCTAAATTAATGAGCATATGAAATAAGTTGTTTACAAACGAATCCGAGATAAGTTCACGAGGTCAGAAAGTATAATTTACGGAAATGCCACGAACACGAAAATGTTATGGAAATCAAATGCAATTGGCTTAAGCGAGGTATGCAACTTAATGGAATAGAGTACAGGTAGACATTTATATGAGAAAGAAAAGCATTAAGGCAAAATTGAAAACCCACCACCTGAAATAAAGAGACTTAGCATGCAAGCACGCGGTTAGTAAATCGAATACAGCGTACCTACAAACGCTGCGCCGGTTTTGCCTACGTTCTCTGCAGGACCCGTCGTCGCTTCGGTAGTGGTCCCGAGTGGCCTCGCTCATGGCTCACTAAGCCTGCCTGACTCAGGCACTCGCGACCGCATGTTCTACAGCACCATGCGCTTGATGTCGATGGAGGACGAACCATCGGTGCTTGCCGCTTCCGCACTTGCCGCTTCTTCTCTGCATGCATGAGGGCTTTCTCCCGCACTTCGGCAACTGCCTTCGTGATCAGATCGCGCCATGCACGCCGATCAACCGCCTTCGATTCCCATGATCTGAAATCAAGAGTAGAAAGTGAGAGGCTCACTTTGATCATGTCCTGGTAACGTAACTTCGGTTTCCCCACGTGCCGCTTCCCAATACTCAGTTGACCATATAGTAGCTGCTTCGGTATCCGCGTCGAATCCATACGCCACACATGACCGAGCCACCTTAGGTGTCTCAGCAAAAGTATGCAGTCCACTGCATACATCCCACTTCGGCGCAACACTTCCGTGTCTGCAACTCTGTCGCCCCAACTGATGCGCAAAATCCGTCGCAAGCACTGCTGATGGAACCGCTCGAGATATCGCACATCCCGACGGTACATCGTCCACGTTTCACTGACGTATAGAAGAACGGACAGCACCATGGATTTGTACACCATCATCTTCGTGCCAATGGTAAGCTGATGGTTGTTTCACACTCGGTACTCTAGCTTGCCGCCGCTGCCTTCGACACGCGGATACGCAGCTCACTGTGTAGCTGCTGATCAGTCGACATCACACTCCCAAGGTAGCAGAAGCGGGAGGTGGTTTCCAATACTTCAGCACCAATGCTGATTTGCGGCAATATTGAAGATTGCACCTCCGGTGAAGGTTGAAAGAGACAGACAGTTTTGCTTGTGTTGATGGTGAGCCCGAATTTTGCCGCTGTCGAAGCCAGAGCACTAGTCATGTGCTTCAACTCATCCGCGCTGTGTGAAAACAACGCACAGTCGTCAGCAAACAGCAATATACGGATAGTTGTCTCACAGACTAGAGTTCTCGCACCGAAACGACGGATGTTCAGCAACCCACCATCAATACGGTGCTCCACACGAACACCGTAAGCACAAGCGGCATCAAAAGCACAGGACATCATTGCATGAAGATATATATTAAACAGGGCAGGAGCTAAGACACAGCCTTGCTTCACACCAGTGACAACTGCAAAGTCATCCGAGGTCTCTCCACTCAGCTGCACTCTCGCTCGTATACCACTGTGCAGACATTCAATTAAACTTACAAACTTACGCGGGCAACCAAACTTACCCAACACCAACCACAATGCCTCGCGGTTCACCGTATCGAATGCCTTGGTGAAATCAACAAAAAGCGAGTACAATGGCTGGTGTCGTTCTCTGCACTTCTCTTGCAACTGACGAGCTGCAAACACCATATCTATGGTGCTACGACCCGAACGGAATCCACATTGTTCTTCCGCCACGTTAGGTTCTACAACCTGACTGACGAGGCGGTTGAGCAGGATTCGGGCAATCACCTTGTCCACACAACTCAGCAAGTTGATGCCACGATAATTCGTGCAACATTGCTTGCTACCTTTGCCCTTGTACAGTGGTAGCACAAATGCATCCTTCAGCTCAGAAGGCACCTCCTCCTCAATCCATATGCCTTGCACCAAGTGGTACAGCGCCGTCACCAACGCGGGTCCGCCGTGCTTCAATACTTCAGGCGGGATACCGTCGGCTCCTACACACTTCCGATTTCGCAGCTGAGCAAGTGCTCTCTGCGGGTCGGCGTGTCCGCCAGACTCGCCTTCACATCGTGCTGCTTCAGGTCGTTCAATGTAGGCCAGTCGATCTTTGAACGATTGTTCAAGAGATAGTCAAAGTGTTTTCGCCAGATCTGCATTATGTCTGCAGTCTGTGTGAAGGTAGCGCCTGAACTACCATCGATCAGTGTCCTCAGCGGCTCCAAGCTCGGTCCATACACCGCCTTCAAGGAGTCAAAGAATTCCTTGTGTTGGCGGCGTTCGGCGTAGCATTCCATCTGCTTCGCCTTCTCTGTCCACCATGCATTTTTAATGCGACGGAGCTCTCGAGTCAGTCGTCGTCGAAGTTTGCGAAACTGACTAATCTTTCTCAAGTCACTAGGGTCTGCGAGATGTGCAGCAAATGCTGCATTTTTCTCCGACACCAATGCGCCGATCGTCGCATTTTTGTCATCAAACCAATCAGGTCGCTTACAGTTAGCGCGCCCGATGGTCTCCTCGGCAGCAGCTGTCACCTGGTCGCGAATGTGGTGCCACAGGTCGCCCACTGTGGCTATGCAGTCCACATCACACAGGCGTGCAGCCATCGTCTTCTCCAGCTCAGTACGTTTCCTCACAGTACCGAGGGAGAGAAGGTTAAATTTACGCTGGTTCACGGCGGGAGTGCAATACATAGATTTCCGAAAATATATGTACAGTTTGGTCCGCACCAACTTGTGACCAGTGCCACACTCAGCTCCACGCAGTACACGTGTCATGCGCACTTCACGCATATCACGCTGACGTACGATGACATAGTCGAGCAGGTGAGCGTGACCACTCCGTGGGTACGTCCACGTTGCTATATCACTCGCACTCAGTGCAAACCGAGTGTTTGTGATCGTCAGGCCGTGAGTGGCACACAGTGAGAACAGCCTGTCACCGTTCGCATTCGCTGAGCCAATGCCATGCGAACCGATAATATCTGTCCACGCTGATGCATCACGCCCAACGCTCGCGTTGAAATCGCCCAGCAGAAATAGTCGGTCGCTCCTCTGCACAGACCGTATCACGGAGGATAGCTAAGTGTAGAATTGACCACGCGTGTCGTCAGGATAACACATGGTCGGACCGTACGTGCTTATAAAAGTAGCAAATTTACCTCTTCCGAGTCGTAGGCAAACGGTCATCAGGCGGGCGCTGATGCCCGTTGGTTCACCGACTAGCTGGTCATGGAGGCGATCGGATATTGCAAATCCGACCCCATGATCACGTGGTGCTGAGGCGGCGTTGCCCACCCAGTAGACTGTGTAGTCAGCACCTGCTTCATGCAACTTACCTTGCTCAGCGAGCTGAGTTTCACTGAGCGCCCAATATCGCAGTAGTAGCGCGCCAGTTTCATCGTGACGAGTGCAGTTCGTCGCTCCGCGCGCTCGCTGGAGTTCCGGTCCAGTAGTGTGCGCACGTTCCAGCACCCGATACAGAGTGTTTTGCGCGCAGGCATACGATTGCATTGATGGGCAATCGCACGCGAGGTGGTCGTTGTGCTTCGGAGGTTTGCTTGAGGGACTCTACCCGGAGCCTTTGGCTCAATAGCCTGACCCACATGCAGTGGGGAGCATATCCAGCTCTAGAATGTGATTGCAGAGACAGATTGGGATCTGCTTGACGGCCGTCACATGCAGCTTTGGAGGTACTGGAACGATTCCTATATGTTTTGCGACCGTAGTAGGATACGCACCTGCGACCACGGCCAGACGCAGTTCGGATTTTGGCGGGTTTGCACCAATTTGACCAGGGGCTGCCTGACTTGAGGCGGGCAGTAGCAAACCATTGAACAGCCGGAGGTGCCCTCCCATTGTCAGAGACAGTGTGTGGCGCTCGTGCTCTACGCCAATCAAGCTGTGAGCATATAACCTGTAAACCTGTTGTCTCCCATGGCTAGGTTTTACGGGAAGTGGGCCATCGACCACTTCCGAAGAGGATGGACTAGGATACTGCCAGGGCGCCCACACCTGACAGGAGAACGACTCGGGTCCTGAGCCAAAGCCTTCGATTAAATGAACACCCGAAAGACAGCGGGTTTAGCACATGGTCAGTTCACTGAGTCATGCGCATTGGTGTCCTGGATCTTAGCAAGGAGAAGGGCGAAACCCAACTCTCACCCAGCGGTCGCCACGAGGAGGCGTCCAGGACATGAGCAAATGGTACAACAGTAGCAGCAGTGGGTAGACCATCTGTCAGGATCTAGCCACCACCAGCCTCAGCGCACCATAGGCTCTCCCGCCTCCAAAGTGATATACTAGCAAGTATACCATCATGGCCGAGCATAAAATATTTGACGTGAGATAAGATGGATCTGAAGCATTGAACCGCGACACGGGTCTATGCTTTGGCACTTTGAGATCAATGCTGACGAAAAACAGCTGACCCCGGCCAACACGATCTAACCACTAGCACACGTCGGCTTCAGTTCGCACGTAATCTTGCTCCACTAGTTTGCTTGACAAAGTCCACCAAGTTCACTTTGATTCCCAATTAGAAGCACTGGGTTCCCTATATTAACTAGTATAGCACAATAAGACGACGAATGTTGCGAAATGGTACTATTTAGTGCCCTCGGTTCACTTGCAAACGGACAACAGGTCAAATAATAACGTGACAAAAAAGAAATCATTAAGTTGAAAGCGTGAGGTCACATGCAAGCGAACTGAACTTTGGTTACAAGTTGAAGCGAAATTATTAACTCCAAGGGAGTTTGAGCCTAACGAACAGTTGCTTCTGGACGCATAATGTTGGAGAATGTTTTTATATGGCCACTGCCTCGGCAAACGCATTGTATCTATCGACTTGTTTGTAACTGTGAAAGCAGTTACATCGGCAGAACAGACCGTTGCTTGTGTAAGCGGAGTGGGGAGCACATTCCGAAGCATGTGGTTATCTTGACAAGGCAGCCGCAAACGGGACCTGTGTCGACGAACAACATACCTGCATCTTCGACTGAGAAACGCCTGATGGAAACGGGTAATCAGGTGGACCCCAACTGGGCGTATAGTGTCATCTATCATAACACAAACGCCAGAGTCCTCAAGTTTGCCGAGGCAGTGGCCATATAAAAGCATTCTCCAACAGTATGCGTCCAGAAGCAACTGTTCGTTAGGGTCAAACTCCCTTGGAGTTAATAATTCCGCTTCAACTTGTAACCAACGTTCAGTTCGCTTGCATGTGACCTCACGCTTTCAACTTAATGATTTCTTTTTTGTCACGTTATTATTTGACATGTTGTCCGTTTGCAAGTGAAGCGAGGGCACGAAATGGTACCATATTGCAACAATCGTTTTGTTATTGTGGTATTCAACTTCCCATTTTATTTTCAGCTGCATCGTAAGCTACATCACGGATTTTTTCTTCGCTCTATCTCACTATGTATTGACGTTACGCATCTGATAATACCAGTTGCAATGAGGTATGCAAGCTTCATTGTCAGGTTGTCCGGCGATCGCAAGGCACACAACTAACCATCGATAGACTATTCGACGTGCCCGCTCTTGTGCCATGTATTTTGCACATTCACAAAATTCCCAGCTGTTTTCTGGTCTTTGGAGCACGTTGTTACGGACAACCGGAGATGGTTCTTCCAGCTCTATTGATGCCTACAACGGCAGTAGCGCATCTTTGACTGCTTAGATCAGCAGCTTTGGTACCAGAGGAGAATGAGGATTTCATTTTCTCTTTTAGTAGTTGTGTGTCCAGGATTTTCGTGACAATGAGGCTATGAGACTCAGCTCTCTTAATCACATGAGACGTTCAACCACAGTTGCGTATCAGCAAGAATGAGTGCCCATTTGGGTGATGGGTCGCATGTGTCAAGCTGAATTAGAACCAAATGTGTCACGTTGACTCAGGCGTTTGCTGTTACATGTGCCCACCGACCGTTTGACACAAGTACATCACATGACGCGTGCGTCTACCTCCTGATTAGGTAGTGCCGATATAAACTGTTAATTTTGGTAAGCAGCATTTCTGTATCGTAGCTTAAGTGTTCCTAGGTTGTCCTATTAATATGTGCTGGCTTTTACACTAATTATGTAGTCTCGGTGTCAACACGCTTTCGCATCAAGTCCCTGACTTCTACTTTTCGCATGGGATTGCATCTTACGGAGAACGAGGTCAGCTGAATCGGATTCGCATTAAAGGAAGTAGATCTAATTACGGCATTGCTCACAACAATCACTAGTGATATCATGTAAGATGCCGTTATATCGTCTCCCAGAGAGAATAGCAGAAGGCAATGAGTTATACGCAAACAAATGTTTTCACTTCTTCTTCAGACGTATACAGTAAGTAATAGGCGTCGGTACACTGTTAGGTTTTATACGTTAGTAAAAAAATAAAAATAAACAAGTGATTGCTCATTTAAAGTGATCAACGTGCCAAATGGCTGGTCATGTGATTGAAGACTCGCGAGTTTCCTGCCTGTGTCCGGTGGTTGGCCATGGCACCTTCAACGACTGCACCATTTTCTTTTGCAAGCATGTGTTTGCTTTTCGCGTTCCGCTTTCGTTTTTGTCGAATCGGATTCCCTGTCCTCCTCTGTTAATATTGCAAGAACATAAGAAGCGACCGCAGTTATTTACTGCCGCAAGTATCATAAATCATGCGCATCACCGCCTGCGGTTCCCCTCATCTTCGAGTTACGTTGCTCTCGCTGCTTCTGCGTCTATTCTTAGTAGACAAACGTCTGCGACTCCCATGTGGTCTTCTGTTGGGACGTTGGTATGGTCCACTGCCTTACGTTATTATCCGGCTTTCTTGGTACTTTTGTACTACTGATCATTTTACATGTGCTTACAAGAAGTACTAATTTGTTGTTGTGGTTGACGGTGATTGGTTAATGGTGGTTCTCTTCCGGATTACTGTAACTCTCCTACTCTGCTGGATCACTTAACATTCCGCTCGCACCCCTCATCCGACCGTTACTACGACTGAATCTCCATTGATCGCTTCTGTTTAGTTGGTAGAACGGTGTTCCGCCGGGTGTTTATTTCCTTCGGGAGGGTGGCGACACATTTTAGTCCATTCCGGTTTGGATCAGTTTCAGATGCAGTTATTTATGCATTCTGTATGTATTGACAACAGTCTATCGACCAGATATAGGGCCAATCATAACCATGGAAATCATAAGAATACAGGTTTATTCACCATATCATCACAATGGCGCCTTAGCTGAAGGTGAGCAACACACTTCAGCTATTGTGCCTTAAGATGAACGAAACTGTTGTCATTTTTTCACACACCATTTACCTGTTTTGTCGTTTTCAATTGTTAAACATTAAATATCTAAATGTAGACATTTATGTACCCAAATCTTTCACCACTTTCAACTACGCGGCATATCTTGCAGCGTTTCAGTGCAATTAACTGATTGCGCTTTCCAAAGTGGGTCTCATTTATATGTAAACTGTCAAAATGCACATTTCGTTACATCTTCAGCATGTTCTGTCTGTTGTTTTTTTCGGTGTCGTTCGCAGATCCTCAATTCTCGCCTGAACATGTGTTGCGAGTTGACAGAGATTTTATCCAGCCTCCTGCAATCCAGACACGGGGCTCGTTTAGAATGGATGATCATTCTGCTTATTTGTGTCGAGGTAGGCATATACATTGTTCGCCCTAACGATTCACTCTCTTATCAGATCTGCTTCGAGGCATATTACTACTACGAACGTCGTCTGGATCGGCTTACCTCCGCTTTCGAAGTGAACACGCACTGATCTCTACATCGCATTTTCGCTCTCTTTTGTACTATGGCACTATTGAATAGATCCACTGATTTCCCAGACTCATCTTCAATTTTTGTCCCAGCACACGCGGTTTTATCCCTGAGGCCGTCTCGAATGATGCATTGGAAGGCCAAATTGTCACCCTATTGCACTTGTTTTGCCGTGTGGCTGAACCGTCTCAATATTACTTGTATGGTGGGCTTTGGGTCGACGCATCTCATCTGCAGGAGATACTGTTACTCCTCGAAATGTCTACCTTCTTTGTGAACCGGCACTGACCTTCTGGAATATATGAGATTGTCTCGTTATAACCTTAGAGCACTAAGCAACAGTACCGTGGTAACCTTGGAAAGGACAATATACAGTTTCTTCCATTTTAATGTTTGGAATTAACGGTTATCTATTAAGCTAACAGAAGCTGCTATTTCACGATGAGATTTTCATCAAAAACGGAGGTATTATTTTATTACACGACGCTTATCCGGAGAAATTCATCTGCATATTCTCAAGTGAATACTGGGATATATATATATATATCATGAAAGCTAATACGCTTGATGTTGAAAATTTTCTACTGATACACCTGCCAGATGGGATACGAAGTGCCGATAATTTCCGGAAGTCTGGAACGGTCGACATACTTTTCCTGGGTGTTGCGACTGTCTGGCTGCACTGAATGTGAAACATCCACATATACTACACAAATCCCTCTTGTAATTGACCATGCGTCAAGGTAGTAAACATCCCTCTGCCTATAGCATTGAAGACTGGTAGCTCAGGTTGTTCAGATGGCAGTTACACTGTTCGATGAGCTTGGCAATTTTATTGCAAATCTTCAGTCACCAATCAAGGTGTCGTCATCAGTGCGCAGTTGAGTGGCGTAGAGGAGCCTCGGTGAGAGTGCACTGAGCGTGGTGTTCGTGCGTTTTTATACCGCCGTTTAGACAAGCATTCTTATTGGTTGGGACTTCGGCCCGCGTTCAGCTTGGTTGACGGACAATTGACCTTGACCCTTGTGTTTCGTGGCCTTTGTCTGCTTGCTCTTGTGACCGAGTCTGTCGTCAGCCCTGGTTGTCTAGTCACATGTTCCACTGGATTCAATCGATCGCGTTGGCGGTCGTTCGCCAGTAATGTTGCGTATACTGCTACCAGTTCGATGTGTCGATTGATTGAATTCGTTGTAGTGTACTAGGCTTCCAAAAACTCCCTCGCGTGTTTTGTACTTCCATGTGCTAGGACCTTCACATTCTCCAGATCGAAATGGTGGCCTTCTTGATCTTCATGCGCAGAAATCAACGAGTGCAGTTCATGTCTTCTGACGGCCGTCTTGTGTTCGGTAATTCGTGTACGAAGCTTTCTTTTAGTTTGTCCGACGTAGTTTTTATCGCGGTCGGTGCATTTTGTCTGGAAGATGACATTGCATTGGTCGGCTTGATTGACTTTTTCTTTGGGTCTTGAGATCAATTTGCTTAGGGTGGCACTTGGCTTGTGAACCACAGAGATTCAATGTGACTGCAGCAGTTTTCCTGTTAGTTCGGAGACGTTCTTAATGTAGGGGAGCACTGTCCGTTTGTTTGCTTGCTCAGGTAACTACTGTTGCTGTGACATTCTTTTCTTTGGGTTTCTTCTGATGAAATTTCTTGGATAACCCTTGTTTCTAAACCCTCGGTATAAGTGAGTTTCTTCCTGTTTCCGCGGTTCGGCTATGCTGCAGTGCCTTTCCGCTCTTTTGCGCAAGGTTTGTATGCCGCTCTTCTTGTGATTCATCAGGTTGTTCCTGTGATAGTTTAATATCTGGTCCGTATGCGTTTTCTTCCGATATAGGCACGTTTGAAGAGCCCCGTCGCTATTCCTAATGACCAGTAAATCCAAAAATAGTAGCTTGTTATCTTCCTGTGATTCAATCGTAAATTTGATATCCTCTAGTGTGCTGTTGTACAAATCGTGCGTGGTCTGTCCTCTGTTCCGTTTTACGATGACAAACCTGTCGTCCACGTATCGTATCCAGAGTTTTGGTCTGATAGATGGCAGTGCAATGCGCTCCAATTTCTGCATTGAGCCCCGAAATTGGGGATCCTTCTGAACGTGACCTGGAGTTAAGATGTTTGATCACGACCGGTTCAGTATATCACATGAGTTACTCTATGCGTACATGTCATGAACCTACGCGATTCTAACTCGCAACTGGCGCTTTGTCATGCCTATGTAGTCTGCTTTGCAGATATATGTAAATTGCTAAACTACATTTGAACTGTTGGACAGACTTTGTGGCCGTCTAACCTTAGGGCGTCGGATTGTGCGTCGTCAGTACCGATTGCACTTCGATGCAAAGGCTCGCCACTGCGGGTTTCATGCTCCGTTGAAGTGATTGAACCATGTCGTCTCCTTTAAACGGTAGCTGCAACGACAATGTATACTTTGGCCCATGGTCACTTTCTACCACTTTTTCCTTGTTCAGTGAAGAAGGACATCGGCTACCCGTTTTACGCGAGGATATTAGCAGCCGCACCACTTCTTCTTCCTCATGTCTAGTGTGCAGGTTTTTCTCGCCTGACCAAACATAGTCCTCGCCAATCACTGTTTGCGACGCTTAGGGACAAAGTTATGTGAGTTCAGCTAAGCCCCCTGGCGTGCGATCTTAAAGTAAACCAAAGATGAATAGGGCCTCAGAGCAAGATTGGTTTCTATTAGCCCACTCTTTATATACCTTCATCCATGGCCCCAATTTCAACACTCATCATCATCATCATACACGTTAGCTAGAGGTGAGGAACACCTCAGCTACTGTGCCGCAATACACAGAATAAAGGAGAAAAAAAGAATGCAACTGGTGCAAGTCAGCTGAACTACCGGTAACGGATGGGAATCGTTCCGGTAAGCTACCAGCCGGCTACTGTGCATCAAAAAAACTATGCAAAATTATATAAGGCTTAATAATGAGATCGTGGTTGGAGGGGGAGGCTAAGATGGATGGGGTGGGACAACGAAACTCACAGCACGAACGCCACTGAGGTCGGCTCCTATCCATATCAGCAAGTGTGTCCAACCAAACGTGTTCATCGTCTTTCAGACCCAAACCAGGGGAACGAGACACTCCAATCGAGGCCAGCTCCGAAGTGAGGGCCTTCATTCCTCTCGACCAAGTCATCGCTTGGCCACCCCTCTTCTTCTTCCATCCACACCTCCGGCGCGCAAACCACGTACGTCGCGGGAGTCGGTGGGCTGGCATGCGCAACACGTGGCCGAGCCATCGGAGCCTGGTGCGTAAAATGACGGTGCTGAGCGGTTCATTTCCTTTTCCTGTGCCGTAAACAAGGCGTCGAACACGGTCGTTGCTCACGCGGTGTTCCCACCAGATGTGAGCTAAATTACGAAGGCACCGGAAATTCAGCACTTACTAACATCGCTTTTACTGTCACATCTGCGTTGAACAAACTGCTCTCATTGCACATCTACAGTTTTCCCGGAATCGATGACATCATTTATACACGGGCGCTGAACTTAGTATCAACAACACAGTCTGAGCCATTATCGAAATTCTTCCAAACGTGCTTGGATGAACAAATCGTGCCTATCATGTGAAAACCTAGTCTAATCATCCCAGTTTTCTAATACGGTTATTGATCGAAACACGCAAACTATCGCCCACTGACCCTTCTCCCCGTACTCTCTAAGGTGATAGCGACAATGATCGCTGAGGTTTCAGTTGACCATCTGGAACGCCACAACATCAAACGACCAGAGCAGTACCTTTTCCGTCTACACCATACATGTACGTCTACTAATTGCACACAGTAGTTGGACGGAAGTGGCCGATGAAGGCAGAAGTACGGACGTCATTCACCTCGACTTCTCCAAGGCCCTTCGCCGACTGTACCACCACACTCTGCATCACAGGCTCAGAAGCTATGGAGCTGGGGCTCCTGTCCTTGGATGGATCAGGAATTTCTTGCACTATCGGCCACTTTCATGTTAAAGTTCGGAGTGCGCTATTTGTTCCGATTCATGTCTAATTCGAACTTTCACAAATGTCACTTCTTGGGCCGCGTCTGTTTCTTACGCGTTTAATTGCCTCGGGTTCGTTTTTTTTGCCGATGATGTTAACAACTGGCGGGCGATCACGAGGCTCGATCACAATGCACTTCAGCGGGACCTGGACAGAGTGTATGAATGATCACCCCACAATCCACTCCAGTGTAATTCGTGGAAGTGTAAGGCAGTCCACATTCATCACCAGCCGAACATCATATACAAGCTTACAGAAAAGTAGTAGGAGGAGTTGAATAATATAGATAGAAATTCGTCACATCTAGACTCACCCAAACAGCCGCAACACGCCTGCAAAAGCACTGTACGCGCGTTTCATTCTTTGGGGAATCATCAGCAGTGCGCATTCCATCGAACCCCTAGTAGGGCTCGAATCCGCAACTCGACTGTTGCCAGTCCGTGGTTGTGACCACTGAGCTACGGGGGACGGCAACGACCATCGTGAATAAGTTACTAGATGTGATATAGCGCCGCTCACTATCCACTGACTTACACGTTACTGCCGTGCGAGGACAGGGTAGCCCCCTCACCAAGCGACGAGCTTAACAAACTTAAGCCGCCAATTATCTTATGGCATTATAAGCAGTTTGTTCTGTGTACTGATTACAGAAGAGTAGTAGGGGGAGTTGAATGGTATAGGTAGAATTTCGTCACATCTAGGCTCACTCAGACAGCCGCCACAAGCCCGGAAAAGCACTGTACGCGCGTTTCATCATTTCGGGAATCATCAGCAGTGCGCATTCCATCGGACCCTTGGTAGGGCTCGAAACCGCAACTCGACTGTTGCCAGTCCGTGGTTGAGACCACTGAGCTACGGGGGACGGCAACGACCATCGTGAGTAAGTTACTAGATGTGATTAGCGCCGCTCACTATCCACTGACTTACACGTTACTGCCGTGCAGAGGATAGGGTAGCCCCCTCACCAAGCGATGAGCTTACCAAACTTAAGTCGCCAATTATCTATACCATTCAACTCCCCCTACTGCTCTTCTGTAATCAGTGCGCAGACCAAACTGCTTATAATGCCATAAGGATGAAACGCGCGTACAGTGCTTTTCCGGGCGTGTGACGGCTGTCTGAGTGAGTCTAGATGT